TATTATATTTTATCTAATTTTCTGTTAAATAAAATGCGAGTAGTACATTTTTTATACATATAAAATATCGATTAAAACGTACAAGCAACACCCTTAAATTATACGCCATTTTGATCGATTTAAATGAAAGTCTCACATGTTTTTCTTAAAATAAAAAATAAAAAAAACCCTACTAAAATATCATTAAAAAATCACAACTATTAAGGGTTAAATTTTGTATGACTATTGCTTCGTCTTATCACAAATAAAGTTTTTACCGTAGTACTAGTTTGATTCCTAAGCGGCAGGATGCAGTGGTTTATTGTTAACAGGTTTTTTATTATTGAGAAATTTTTTAATTATAAACTAAATAATTTATATGTCTATTTCATAAAATAAATTAAAAATTATATATACTAAGAAATAATAATAAATATGTTGATTTCAACCAAAAATTGAGTTAATAAACTAAGATAAAGATATCATTTCTTAAAAAAAATTAAATATTTATTTTAGTTTGAAATTGGATTTTTAAAGTTTTAATTAATTTAAATTAGTAAAATTAAATTTTATTTATTTAAATTAATAATTAACTCAATAAAAAAATTTATTTTTAACACCTTAAGAGCTAGATATAAAGTTAACTGAAACAAAACATTAAATTTGATTCCAAATCAATTTGAAGGATGTTTGGTATATAATATCAGTTGTTTTTTAAAATAATTTTTATTTATTAATATATTAAAATGATATTTTTTTTATTTTTTAAAATTTATTTTTTACATCAATACATCAAAACTATTTAAAAATACTAAAAAAAATTAATTTAAAGTAAAAGTAAATTAATTTAAAATTTATGTACTATTTTTCATAATTTCTTTTATCTTGAATTATCAACTTTAAAAAATCAAACTAAAATTATTAAATGAGAAACAAAAGGTCTCAATAAAAAAAAGAGATGTTAAAGAAAAAAAGATTCTCATAAAAAAATGATGTAAATGAATTTTTTTTAAAGTGCATTAATTTTATAAAACTAAATTATATTTATTAAATATGAAGTAAAATAATTTAATAAAAAATTGATGTAAATAAAAGAAAGGATATGAATGAAAATAAAAATTTAAGACGGTTTACTATTGATATCAACAGTAATTTCACCTTGAATTTTTTATATTTTTTTAATAACCGATGGAGGTTGGTTTTTTAAATATCTTTTGACCATTTTTTATTTTTTTGATATTTTATAATAAAAATGAGTAACTCATAATTTTTTTAAAAATAAAATGAATGAAATATATAATAATTGGTATTAATAAAAAAACTCTATATTTAGAAATAAAAAAAACAATAATAATTTATGTAGGTCAATCAAAATCGCTTATGATTCAAGTGGATATTTGTACGAATTAGCCTAAACTATCAACATATCGTTAGAAATTGGCAAAATAAAAATACATAAAATTAAATAATTAAATACCACCAATATTATGATAAAAGAATATCCGAATGCAAAAATGAAAATGAAAAAGGAATATCCTAATGTAGAAGAAGAGCACAGATGACGGCATAAACGATCACATGACGCATGCTGATAATTGCTAAGCCAAACATAACTCATTCGACAGTTGAAGAGACAGCCCGTCATTGACACTGTTCTGTTTCCCACCTGTGTGGCTAAAAGTTTCAAGTGGTAGCACTGCATTGCATCACAGTTTTAACTGGTTAAGAAAAAAGAAACAATGGCGATGGTCTCTTTGTCATTTTCTCTTCCTAACCTTAACCTACGCCGAGTCAACCGGTGAGCAATTTCTCTCTCTATTCCTCCCTCTTCTCCTTAAATCTCTCATCACTCTTTTCACTTCTTGCAAAATTAATTAATCCACTTTGGCTTTATACTTGAAGGGTAGCTTAATTTTCTTGATTTTTGTGTTTATTTGTTTGATTTATTGATCAAGTTCTGATGGGTTTTTGTTAAATTCATGTGACACAGGTACTCTGGAATGGCATTTGCAAGTGTAAATAAAGAAACCCGTACAACTGTAGGTGTGAGAGTCACAGAAGGTGAAGGTAACTTGCCGAAGGTTGTCCTCACTTCTCCTCATGGTAGGTAAGTACATATAGCTACACACCATTCTCAATACATATTGTGAATTTGTGTTATAAAGTTTGTGAATTTATTGTTTTTGTTTATTGGGTTATTTTAGTGAGGCAGAGATATATCTATTTGGAGGTTGCATTACATCTTGGAAAGTTCCCAGTGGAAAAGACCTCCTTTTTGTTAGGCCAGATGCTGTGTTTAACAAGAAAAAACCAATCAGGTTCATAATTCTGTATTATTTTTAAGCATTTAAAGGACCCAGCTGGCTTTACATTCAATATGTATTGACTGTTACTTTGCTATTGGGTCAGTGGAGGTGTGCCACATTGTTTCCCACAGTTTGGCCCCGGTGCTATTCAGCAGGTACGATGCCCTTTTGTTTTCTGAAATTCATGTTTCTAACTTTATGTTTATGTTCTTTAACTATGTTGTTGAACTTTGGGAATGTGTTGCCTGTGCTTAATAGCATGGATTTGCTAGGAATTTGGATTGGTCAGTTGTTGATTCTGATAATGCCGATGGCAATCCGGTGGTAACCCTTTTGCTCAAGGATGGTCCTTATAGTCGTTCCATGTGGGACTTCGGTTTTCAAGCTCTATACAAGGTAGCCAATTATTTTCCTTTAGCATAAACATTAATAAGCTTGGCTACAGCAAATACATAAATTGATCCTGATTCATGTACCTCAAATATAACAGATATATTCAAGTATATAGTAGTGCTAGCAGGCATTTGGTGTTGTCCAGCTATTTTAATAAGCTTTTGGACAGCGTCGTGTAAAATAATTATGGTTTCTGTATTCGCAACTGAACATCTACTTTTCATTTATTTTTTTCAGGTCATTCTAAATTCAAAGAGCATTTCCACAGAACTGATAATCACAAATACCGATAACAAGCCATTTTCATTCACGAGTGCTTTGCACACATACTTCAGTGTAAGAGTTGTTTTTTCCATGCCTAGCAAACTGCTATTCTGCTGGTCTGACCAAATTAGTAAATTTCATTGCTCATAAAGAAAATGTGGGACCCTGAATAGGAGTTATTGATACGAGGGAATGATTTGGAAAACTCCTTGAATTTGGAGGAATGGAGCAGGCATTCTATGATTAAGTATTGTTAGTTTTTATCTGTTGTTGAAAGGAGATTATTGGTTGTTCAATGAGAGAAAGATGCTTGTAAACTGAAAATTATGCAAAATTCGATGGCCTGCTGAACTATACAGGACTTTATTGTAAATGATACGATGATATCATGCAGGCATCTGTAACAGGAGCATCTGTGAAAGGTTTGAAAGGTTGCAAAACCCTGGATAAAGAGCTGGATCCCACCAATCCAGTGGAGGGCAAGGAAGAAAGGTCAGTAACATTCTATACACACCTTTCATACAGAAAACCTATATCAAATTGATTTTGGTTTCTCTCTGAAAATAACATATGGTTGTCTTTGGGCTGTTGGAGGTGAGTGGCTCCTCTTCTGTGATTTGTTCAATATAAGGAGATATATCTGCTCTTTCTAATTGTCCTGTAAATAATGCAGGGATGTGGTGATTTTCCCTGGATTTGTAGACCGAGTTTATCTTGATGCTCCAAGTGAGTTGCAGCTAGATAATGGCTTGGGCGATGTAATAACTATCAAGAATACAAAGTATGAATTGGAAGCTCATTTCATTTTCTTGTTTTGTTATCCCCATGATTTCTCTCATTTCACTTGCGGATTCATATATTTTACATTGCTGTCCTTTTGACCTGTGCAGTTGGTCAGATGCTGTTTTGTGGAACCCACATCTGCAGATGGAAGCCTGCTACAAAGATTTTGTTTGTGTTGAAAATGCACAGGTACTGAGATATTACCTTCTTGTAATATAGTTGCCAACTTCCATAATTGCCAAGCATCATGAAAGTTGAGTTTTATCTTTCTGATTCCTAGTTCTGGGCAGCTATGATTAACTGCGTGCTAAATCCCTCTATCTAGCAATGCGATATTCCAAACAACTTCTAGTTGCCTCTCCTGATGAATATTTGTGTGGTGTGGTGAATTTTCTAAAAAGGGGATTGTGTTTTTCACTTGTTAACTGCAGATTGGAAATGTCCAGCTAGAGCCTCAGCAGTCCTGGACAGCCAAGCAGCATTTTAGCATTGACTGAAGGATAGCTGCCTTCTGTTTTCAGCTTTTGTAGAATAATATCATCGTCCTACTTTTTTTTCATCTGATTCCTGGTTCCAGTTTTGCCAAACTTTCCACTATAAAGCAACAACGGTGTTTAATTTTCTCTGCAATGTATGAAAGGCCTAAACACAGCGGCTGTTGTCGTCATTTTCTCTCACTCTTTCCTTATCAGTAATACATACATCAGTGAAGGGCGTAAACATTTTGTTGAAATGAATAGCAGCACATCCTAATGCAATGGTACACGATATGGGCATTCCATTGTTCTCTTCCATTAGCATATCCTGTGATAATGCTCCTGGTTTCCTCTTGCTCTCCAAATTATAGCAACATAACTAAATGCCTGGTACATGATTTGGGCATTCCATTAGCATTCCTGTGATAATGTTCTTGTTTAGTCAGCTCCCATTGTTCACTTCCATTAGCATATCCTGTGATAATGTTCTTGTTTAGTCAGCTTATTTTGTCAGAACCACAGAGGCATTTAGTTATGTTGCTATTTGGAGAGCAAGAGGAAGCTAGGAGCCTGATCTCTGGGATCGTATCTAGCACAAGGCATGCTTGACATTTACGCTTGGATTTACTTAATTTATTCCATGTTTGAACATGTACTGTGCAGAGATAGTTTTAGCCACATTTGACTCTGAATGAATTGGCATGCTAAAGCAAGCAAGACGCCATTGAATTGCTTTCCTAGTTATATGCCACATTTGACTCTGAATGAATTGGAGACGCCATTGAATTGCTTTCCTAGTTATAGAAAGCTAATGAACTTTCCAGCGATGATATTTCTTGTATTGCTTAGCTCTAGATTGTCTTCTAACAATCTTGACAAGGTTGTAAACGATTTGTTTATGTGCCTCCAGTGGATGCCATACCACGATGGAAATAATTGTTTATGTGCCTCCAGTGGATGCCATACTTCTGGCTGGTTGCCACTTTGATTATCAATTCTAACTAGCTATTTCATCAAAATCAAGTTTTCAGCCGGTTCAGGAGCTGTTGTTGTCAAACATGCATTTTACTGGCAACTTTTATGCCTTTTGCTATAAATACAACCAAGCAAGCATAATTTTCAGATGAAGATCTCGCTGCTCAACAGTAGCATATGGCTAATAATTTTGTTCTTGATCGTTACATATGGTAGGTACTGGTATAATATTCTTGAGGTTTGCTCTCTCCATTCATTGCTTGCTGTTAACCGTAGTTTTTACCATTTAGAAGTGTCCAGACTCGTCCAGGGGCATAAAATGATTAAACAACTTAGGTTATGAGATCATAGATGGAGTTCAAGGAAAAGGCCGGAATAACGGTGAAAACAACTGTTAGTCCAACGTACCATCCGTGTAACAATTTGAATCTCTGCAGAAAATCTTTGCCAAACCGTAACACACATGAAGAGATTGATTCAAAAGGCAAAAAAGTAAATGTGATCCGTCTGGATTAGTATCACAGCCTGCCGAAAGAACTTGATTTAAAAGGCTAAAAAGCATCAGAAGCATTGATCTGTTCCATTCATGAGATGCTAAAATCAGCATTTCTCAAGAACTAAGTTCCGAATCCATTGCTCATCGCTCAAAGCACTCTAAGGTAGATTAGAATGAGGAATTTGATACAGAAATGCCTAAATCAACAATCAAGGGAAGAACAACACAGGAATAAGCAGACACGCCATTCATAAAATGTTTCTCCTAAATTTTGCTTAATGAAACATTGGTGACAAATTAACGGAACCTCAAAATCTATCTAGCTAAATGACAACCACATTCACGATTCATCTACTCAAAAAGCCATCTAAAGCTGTAAAGTAGTCAGAGATCCCTTCTGAACTATTAAACAATCTACTAGACGTGAATTTACAGGCAAGCAACTAGAAACAAAAACAACTATCACTTGACAGTCCTCAAATAGTTCCCCTCCCTGCTCTCTCAAGTAGCCAACGTAGATATAATGCAAACCAGAATTATGATCACCATCACAGCCAAAACCCATAAACACCATGTCTTCCTTTTCTTCTTCATCTGATTGGCATAGTGAAGACTGTTTGTTCCACCACTTACAAAATTACTTGCTTTGGCAACATTCTCCTCAATATCGTCCATCTTCTCTCCCTGAGTTTCAATAAGAACAGCCATATCAAGAAACACTTGATGCAGCCTTTTCAAGCTTCTCTGTATATCCATTACAGCCTCATGTTTCTCTTTACTCTTCAAGTCCATCACTCCTTTCCCTTCAAACATCTGAACTCCCCCTCCTCCTGAAATAATCTTTTCAATCACTTCTGCACTTGGCTCCTCTCCAGCTGCAGTGTAGTATCTTCTTTTCAGATCATCTTTGTAATCTGAAAAAATTTTCTCCCTCAGGATCTGAAACTCGTTCATAATCTCCCTAAGTTTAACTCTCAAGCCATTGGTGACTGATATCCTTGTCCTATCAACAGGACTCCCTTCTCTATACAATTCCGAGACTTTGCAATTCGATATATTGGATCTGTCTAGTGATTCTAGTCTTGCCTTCACAATCTTGGCCTTTCTAAGAACTGCAACTATGTCTGATTCCATTCTGTCTCTTACGCCACGAAGAACTTTGGCACTGTGAGTAGACTTTGACTCTTCATTAAGGGTTTGAAGATCAAACAAGAGATTGGTAATCTCTTCCATTTCGATCTTGATTTCATTGACTTCACAGAAGAACTGGGAGAGGTTTGGTTCATCTGTGGGGTTTAGCTGGCCTGATTCAATGTCGAGTTCGGCTTTAAGGTCTTTTTGGGATTGTTTCTTCAGTTCCACATAACTTAAGAACGATCTTGTCATTAGATCATTCATATTTGCAAGAATTTTGCAAAAACCACCTGCAATAAACTTATTTTTTAGACAAATATAAGTAAAGCGGGAATCTGAATATCTACTAATCAAGAATGGCAAAAGAAAACGCTGTGTCCCTCCTAAATGGATTCAATATTCGATTAGGCACTTAATAAATCTCGAGATTCTGAAGAATTCTTTCTCCAAGAGATCTAAATGACATAGAAAATTAACTATTTTTAGATAAATTTATCCTGTTCTCCAAGAAATCTAAAGACATAGATAATGATAGTGACAGTGACAGGCGCGCAAAAAGTGAACTCATCAAGAACAGTACACAAGATATTCATGGGTATGAAATTCTACAAAACTAAGAAAATTCACTGATTTCAGAAAAGGGTTTTCTGGAAAGGAGAAAAGAAACAATCTTGAAGAAACCATCTAAAATTTGTTTTTGAGAAATCATGGCAAAGAAACCCTCAACAGTTCATGTCGAACCCATCATGAACAGCACATAAGAGTTAAACAACGGCTATCAAATTCTACAAAGCCGTGAAAATTCTCCGATTTTAACAAAAAGCGTTTTGAAAAAGAAAACAGAAAACTAACCTAAAGAAATGGTTTGGGAAGGAAACAAAAAACTAACCTAAAGAAATGGTTTGGGAAGTCAAGGCAATTCAAGAATCCCCCAAAAGTTCTACTAAAACTAAAAGAAACCACGAGAATCAAGAAGAATAGAAAGAAAACAAAAGTGGGGTTTGGTTAAAACCTTGGAGAAACGTATAGCTCTCTCTGCTTTCTACAAAAGAGACAAATGCATCCTTTCTCTATCTCTCTTTCTCCTTCTATCGCTCTCACTTCTGATACGTGTTTCTTGGAGTGAAGATCAAGAAACACTTGAAATAGTTTTTTGTTTTGTTTTGTAAAGATAATGAGGGAGATAGAGAAGAGGGGGGTTGTGATCTTTCAATTTTATAACTCCTCTTTATACAGTTATAAAATTTTCAAAAATTAGTTGTATGGAAATAGTAGCCGTTAATATTGCTGAGACGGTGCCAGTCCTTCCTAAGGTCATGAAATGGCAGTTGAATAATCAAACGGACTACATTCAAAAGGCTAAACCTGTGGAAACACGCACAGGCAAACATCTTGCCATGGTGCGAGAGCAAAATGACTGCGTGTCTATTATCATTTAGATTGTTTTAGCGTCTGTGCAAGATATCAATTTTATGAACATTTTGGAGACAAACAGTATCGATCAAATCACATCATTTTTACTGCCAGTCTCCCTGTCTTTATCCTGTGTCTTCCAAACAGTCTTCCATGAAACCTGTTGTTTCTTGAGCCTCGCAGAGTGACAGCTCAAAGCCATTAATTTCAGAACGTCCCACAAGATCAGGAACCATGACTCTTATAAAACCGTCACAGACTCTGTGATCAATTCAGTCGCTGCCTAAAGACAAATAATTTCGTTCCAAAAACAAAACAAAACCCAAAATTTAAAGACTCGAGAAGAAAGAAAGAAGATGATCGATATTGTTATTTTTTTCAATTTTTATTCTTTGATTTTGTATTAATTAGAGATTGAATTTTGTAATTTTTTAAATTTTATTTGTATAAAATAATTTTGTAATTCTAATTTTATAATTTTAAGAAATTGATTTTAATTTATGAATTGAGTTTTATAAATTTTTTATTATAATTTTATTTATGAGGTTATTTTGCTTTTTTTAGAAGGTGTAAATTATTTGTATTTAATTTTTTTCTGCATAATAATTTTCCTCAATCAATCAATGTTATCCACGTCGATGCCCGAGCACTATCCATGTCAGCTACATCGATTGCAACTACCACCACAACCAATTAAAGAAGCTACGGCTCCTTGGAAAAATCACCCTAGTCTCGCATTTAAAAATATTATTTACTGTAATTTTAATTTTATTTATTTAATCTAAAAAACTTGACATTAATTATTAAGGTTATTGAAGATTCTTCACATGATTTGTTTGTTATTTTCAAATTAAAAAATAAAATATAATTTTTTTATATTAATCGTAAAGTGAAATAACTAAAATATAATTGAAAGTAAAAAATCTACGCCTATTATAAAAGGTTATTTTTATATTTTCATAATAATTTTATTATTATCATAATAGTAGTTAGAAGAGATAATTTGATATTTTTTTTAAATATAAACATTTAAAATACATAGAAAAATTATCAAAAAAATCTTAATAAAAAAATTAAAACTGGAATCTAGGTGTATTTTTATTTATTTTCAAAATGATTTTTCCTATTATTAAGTCATTTCAAGGATGATTTTATATTTAACTAAATAATATTAAAAAAAAAATAGATGTGGATGATATCAGGACAAGCGTTAGAGGCACCCTTGCACTTCAGGCTGCACATGTTGCGCCTTCTAAAAATGTCTTTATGTCATTTATTAGAAGCATTATTACATCTTCTTTTATTTAAAGTGATATATGTTGGCATTGGCAACCCCAGTTTGTAGTTGGTAGACTTTTTTCTCCTCTCTTCTTTTCCTAAAAAATCACAGCTTAGCTACTTTTGTTGTTGGTAATTCAACAAATATCCTTATTATTTTAATTTTTAATTTATGTTATTACTTTTTTATAAAATTTTTTTTTTTTTTAATTTTATCATTTCATCTTACTTTTTTATAAAAAAATTATTTATTTTTAATTTTATCATTTCATCTCAATTTACAAATATTATATTTTTTAATTTAATTCTTATTTTCTTGATTTCTAATTTTTTTTCCTTAGATGTTTTATAAATTTTTATTCTTATTCTCTTGATTTCTAATTTTTTTTCTTATTTTTTTCCTTAGATGTTTTATAAATTTTTTTTATTTTTAATTTCATTCTTTAATTCAAATTAATGATATTATATTTTCTAATTTGATTTTTATTGTTTTCATTTCTAATTTTTTTCTTAAATCATTTGGAAAAATTATTATTATTTTCAATTTCACCCTTCAATCATAAATTTGTTTTTATTTTTCAGTTTTGATTTTTATTCTTTTGATTTTTTTATGCTTTTACTAAATTGATTTTTCTTTTGAATTTCTTCATTCAATTAAATATAATTTTTTATTTAAATTTTAATAGTTATTTTTTAATTGTTTTTTTAATTTTTTGTATAATTAAATTTTTTTATTTTCAATTTTATTCTTCAATATTTCTAATCTTTTGTATAATTTTTTTTTTAATTTTTAGTTCCATTCTTCAATATTTATTTAATTAAAAAAATAAACTTCATGATTTTTTTAAATATAATACTTCAAGTTTAATAACCTGAATCATAAATTTAAAAAATTAATATAATTAGTTTTAAAACTTTATAATTCTTTTTATTTTTTTATTTTTTTATTGAGTTATTTTAATTTTATAATTTAAACCATAAATTTAATAAGATATTTTATGTTAACATGACTATAATTACCAAAATTATATCATGTTAATTTAGGTTAATCAGAACTAATTTTTTTACCTTATTTTATTCTTTCATATTTAATACATATTTAATAGTCTATAAATTAAAATACTCCATTTATTCTTATTTTATTCTTTCATATTTTATAGTCTATAAATTAAAATACTCCATTTATCCCTTTAAAAAAATACCCTTTTCCAAAGATTATTCTAATAACATTTCTTTTTAAATTAGATCTATTTGTTATAAATTTTTTATCTAATTAAATTAAAATCAGCTTATTCAACCTAATTAAATTGAAAACCGGAGTCCCATAATTTGTTTTTGAAAAAAATTATTCTGGTATTTGAACATCATTATATATATATAGCCCTATAGTAAAGCACAGTCACCTAGTCTAGTTTAAACTAATCACATTAAATAATCCCAGTATAATAGGCAAACAATACAAAAATATCTACTACCTTTGATTCCATTGATTCAACAGAGAACTAATCTCAAGTATCGAAAATTAAATTTTTTAAAGATACATTTAAAAATATAAATTCTTTTAAATGCCTACTCACTCACCAAATCAGAGGGAATCCTTGACCTACTGAGTGGTTGTTTTCTATATTTAAAATACCTAACAACCAGTCTCAAGGGTTGGCCTAACAATTAAGAACATTAACAACATCAGCAGTCCGTTCCTTATAAAGCTAATTTATAACTTTGGAACAATAAAAAAATACGTAAACCAATTTCAAAGGATTCCATCACAAGCAAAATCCTGCCTTCCTGTCAAAACTACTTCATGCTAATATAAACAAGCATCATCAAATACCGAAAAATTCCTGTTGCTGGAAAAAAATAAGGGCCCTAAACAGCATTCCTTCACCGAACAGGTTTGGCAAGAAAAGAATAAATATGTTGAGCTTCAGAATATATGCACTAGTCATCTCTTTTCATCAAAGAAAACATACTTGGAATTCTGAACCTTGAAGAAAAATCACAAAACTGAAGTTTGTTGTCTAATGGCCAGACACCCTCCCTTATGATTTTTATTTATCAATAAGCTTCCAGTACAACAACATCAATGGTGGCTAAGGAGCACACGACTGTTTGAAAGAAATAACATGCATTTTTGTTGTCTATTAGAGAGACACTCTCCCTTATGATTTTTATTTATCAATAAGCTTCCAGTACAACAACATCAATGGTGGCCAAGGAACACGTGATTTTTTGTTGGAAATAACATGCATTTTCAGAATTCAAATCTGTTTAGCTACTGGAAAACACTCCTTCAAGAAATTATGAAGCAGTAATGAGTACATATCGGGGAAAGTTCTGAAGTGATCCACATGGGGGGATGACTCAAAATTATAGGACATTACCTTTCTCCCCATTCTCCTCTGATCCTGGATCTCCAACTCTATTAATTGAAATGGAACAAGTTTATCTGCTGTGCTATATAGAAAAAGGTGGGGACAAGAAGGCTGTTTTTTTGAGAGTGTGGACACAATTTCCGTTAACTTCCTGCAAACATAGCAAGAAGCACTATCATGGATAAATTTTTTACAGCTGATACATGTGCTGAACATTATTTAGAACAGAAAATTAGTTCCCACCAAGGTGTAATATAACATTTGACAGAGCAAGACACAAATAGAGCACTTACTGATCCACTTCTGGCAACTTCAGAATTACAGAGAATAGCATTTCAAATACATATAGCACCATGGCTTCGATCATTGAAGGTTCATTTTCTTGCTCTTTTGATTCAATGGCTTGATTTTCTAATCGATTTATTTCTTTAGTGTCAATAACTTGCACAGAAGAGCTGCGTTTCTTCAGCAAGGCAGTGGAGAACCCACCAGCCCAGACCTGCCAAGATGGAAGAAAATCAGCCATTAGCACCCCTTCAGAACGAGCAGCATTTCAAACAGATACACAAGCACCACTAGATATATCTAAAAATTGACAACAAACATCAATAACAGCCAGATGCCAATTAGAGCAGAATCTTCAATTCAAGATGACATTAGCACTCCAAACCATGATTATATGCCTATTTGAAACCTTACAAGAATCACTGTTCTACACCACTGCCGAATTCCACCATAAATGAGCAAATAATTAAGTAAAGTTTAATAGCAACATGCTCAAAACTTTCCATCAGTCACCCTGTTCATACCACGCCAGAGATAAGCACTTCCTTTTTTCTGTTTTGAAACTGAGAAACTTGTTCCACAACCGGTTCAAGTCCATTCATGGTTAGGTTCATAAAGCTAAGCATCCTTCCGAAGTTTAACTTCGTTTTCATTGCTTCTAGTGACTATAATGGTTGTCTGAGAAGCAATGAGGCCAAAATAAATTAAACAAAATGTAACATAAATTTCAGTTTTAATGCAACTACACAATGAGTTTACTATGTTAATTCAAATTGTATATTATTCTGCAAAGCCTAGGTTCACACAACATCTAGCTCATGTATGATCTATGTTATCAACCTTGGAGTATCTGACCTAGTTGAATCAGCTTTAATGAGAAAGGATTTAGAAGCCATTCAAATTTGCTTCAAATCATTGGATCCTACTTAAATCATTAAGACACTTAAGTAACGAAATTGAAAAGCAATATATACCAGGACCATCAAATAAGAAGATAGGGAAGTCTGGCAGAGTAGAACAACTAGGAAGACTGCAACTCAATTAAAGCATAAAAATGGTTCCATTCGAGACATAGCCAGTCATGATCCATAGATGTCAAAAGCTAACATTTAATTTCTCCTGAAAGACCAAAGCTAAGAAAAACAATTTATCATCAACTAAGACATTCGTTATGGGAAAACAA